AAGTGCCCTTATTTGAAATTACCCTTATTTAATACCTAATTGATTAAATTAAAATAATGCATATGTTTGTATTTGAGTAAATGCAAAACTTAAAAGCCTAATAAATGATTGAGAAATGAGGAAAACATTTTCTACCTTAAATGTTATGATACATCTGTGATGTTATTGAGTCCTTCCTATTTTTCAAAATTGTATTGATTATTTTTAAGGTACTAATCAAAAATAAAAATCATACCATTTCTTCTTCTAAAGTTTCTTATAACGCCTTTTACATTTTATACATTTAACTATATTTAAAATACCATAGCCTATGATATATGATACAATTTAAATCTTGAGCATTTAATGTTTCACTGAATAATTTCAAGATATTGCCATAATTCTGGATGGTTTCTAAGTGTCATATTAAGTCAGGGCAATCTTTTACTAATTATAGACGGGTTAGGAGGCATTCTAGAAAGTAGTATTTTAGACCAAATTGTTAAAATTAAAGTCCAAATCATTACAATGAGGGTCAGTACAAATCAGGTTAGTCCAAATTTGTATTATGTGATGAAGCATGTATCTTTGGCTTAGGGGTCTGGAAATTTTAACTCATTTGTCCTTAATTGCACTATTGCATATTTAGTCTATTGCTTTATAGAAACTAAAAATTACTTAGCTATTACAAGATGACAGATTACTTTCTCTGAGCTAACCAAACTCAAAGATGAAAAGAGTCCTGTCAGTGGGAAAAATTTCAACCAGAATATTTTTAAAAAGTGATTTTGCCTGGGCCAGCAGGTGGCATTGAAGGGTAAGGCAGGTGGGTCCCACATGGCCAACTGCACAGTTCAAATCTCAGACCCAGAGTCTTGAAAAACACCCTGGGTCTGTGTGCGTGAATGTCCAAAGTCCTGGGTGAAGAATAGAGTTGGGATTACAGCATGGGCATCTCCCTGGGGGATGATATCTTACTTTCCCTCCCTCCCTGCCTCTCTGTCTCTCTCTGGCAAGCACAGACATCCTATAGCAATAGAAAAAAATTTTGCCTAACAAAATTGAATGTTAATTTTTTAAAACCAAGGCTAAACTTATTTTCTTTAACAAAAATCAGCCTGAGGCCAGCACAGGGCATAGTGATTACATCACTGGACTCCCACATGGTCAACCACAGTTCAAGTCTTGGACCTGGCAGCTTGATACTCACGCAGGGCATATGTGAATGTGTGCCCAAGATCTCAGGAGAATAATGGAGGAAAAGGGATTATGGCATGGCCGTCCCACCTGGGGGTGGTTTCTTATGTTCCCTCTCACTGTATTTCTCTTCCTCTGGCACACATGCCCTAAGGCAAAAAACATCTCCCTCCACCCACCCCCCCCCCAAAAAAAAAAAAAACTCAGCCTGATTTGGATCAGCAGGTGGTGAAGAGTTTAAGGCAGCTAGATCTCACGTGGTTGACTGGATTCAATGGCTTGGAAAACACACCAGGCATATATGTGTGCACATCCAAAATCCCATGAAAAGAATGGAGGAGAAGGGATTGCAACATGGCCACCCCCGGGGGGGTGATTTCTTACCCTCTCCCCTCTGTCTCTCTGGCAAGCAAATACACCCTTTACCAAAACTTAAAAAAAAAAAAAATCAGCCTGATTATTCTAAATCTTTTATTTAAATATCATGTGCAGATCACATCAAAAGTTAAAAGTGTGTGGTATTCATCAAATACAATAGTGTACAAATGAATTTTATGTGTTTTAATGTTATACAGTTCAAATAACTTGTTGATTCCTTTTTTTCCTCACTATCTTACCCATGTAGCCATAAAATAAAATTATATAATAGAACAGGGAGAAATAGTGTTATTAACACATTTTTCAAAAGAATTATTTATTTAATTCCATTTGTTATTATTATTATTTTTAATTTGATCACAGAGAGGCACAGAAAGAAAGGGAAAGTGAGAAAGCAAGCCGCCAGGTCTGCAACTTGAACCACACTCTGCCACGTGGGAATCCAGCTCCTTTAACCACCACGCCACCTGCCGGCCCTTATTAACACATTTTTAAACTGCTAGATTGAAGGTGACCTAGAAAGATTTGAATACTTTCTTAGAATGGTTAATTTTTCAGTTTAAAAACTTTATGGTATCTGGCATTATTTCTTTTGAAAAAAATATGAAAATCAAGAATAGTTTTACTTATCCTTTAAACAAAACATTTCACTCTAAACTTAAATGAAACATTTCATCTAATGTTCTTCACTAGCTATTATCTTTCATAAGGTATTCATCCAGGCAAATGCAGTCTGAAAAACAAACAAAAAAAAAGCAATACTGCTCAATATTAAAATAATATTTCCTATTTCAATTCAGAGATTTGGTCAGCAAGTCATTATCTTGAAGAATTATCTCACAACAGCACTTATGCATAACCCAAACTTTTCAGGGAAGATCAAAAATGTTGCCCATTAAATGCACTTCCTGCAGTCAGAACAGATTGTAGAGTTTACAGAACAATGATGTCGGAGCTTCCAGATTGGTTTGGCAGCTGCATTGTTCTCCGAGGGTAAACCAGACGCACTTAAGTCCCAGTCTCTTTTATAGGCTTTTGTTCATACCAAATTATTCTTTCACTGTGCTAGCATTCATGATGGCATGTTAAAGGAGTGCAGCTTAGCAACCAGCTTCTAGTTGCCAGGCAGCCCAGCTTCCAATAGGTTTTCCTTGTTTAAGATACTTTTGGTGGGAGCTCTAGGAAGGCCACAGTGTGGATTTTTTCTTTTAACTGTATTCCTTTATTAGGATGCTGTTGTGATTTGTTACTTGCATTATGGTCTTAGTATATTACAGTAGTTAATAAATCACAGGGTGTAAAGATTTGCTTTCAAAATCCCTTTCACTTGCTCATACATATCCATATTAGTAGAAAAAGATTGAAATGGATACAGCTTCATAATGAGGCAGATGCATGTAGAGCTCTTCTGAGGGATATTTCCTTTTATCAGTTCAGAAGCTAGGAGAGTTTTGATGTTTCTTTAAAACTAATGAATGTTACATTAGTAGAACAATGCTATTGAAGTCATTTATCTTCTCAGGGAATAAGGCCTCAAGAAACTCCTGTAGAAGTGTGTAAGAGTTCTACACTGAAAGTATTTTCAGTATATTGTTTTGAAGCTAAGATTTAATGTTCTCTCCTCTGGTATTTACCAAAGTTAATAAAATTTATTTCAGTATGTAGAAATACTTGACTCTAATATGTTTACCAGGTATTCTCGCCACTGTGTGACTTCTCAGAAAATCACTTAGCATTTCAACATTTATATAAAAGCTCCTTTCTAATGTAAATATGGTGTTGAAGATCTGGAGAATAAAATTGTTTTCCCAGATTTCTTCTGTAGGTTATTTCAACAGGTGTTTTATGACAGCCTCAGCCTCAGCTACCAGTGGCTTGCTAATAGTAAGCTTGGGTAGGACACTGGAACTACCTTAATAAGTAAACTGCCTGTTGTAGATACAGTCCTTACACTGAAGCACAAGAGAAAATAACTTTAATTCTCTACCAAGAACGGGCTGGAAAAATAACAGTTATTTTCAATAAACTTTAAGGAAAGCCAGTAAAATAGAAGACACATTTGAACAAAGTATTCCTATGGACAAAAGTAATAGAAAAGGTGACCTTTTTAACCAACTACAGACTAACGGTTAATTAATCTGATACAGTACAGAAGTATTTTCTGTTATAAAATTTAAAACTGACATAACATTATTTAAGATACTTAGTTATTTCTTGCTAATTTCATAGGAAATATTCTGCTTTCCATAAATGCACATAAAATAACTTTTCATTTTTTCCTAGAATAAAACAGACTAACACTTAACAAGGGGAACATACTAAAAATTATATTCCATTATCTATGTTCAGTATTCACAAAATCATGATTATTAGGGCAAAACTATTCATCTCTAAGTACAATAAACAAGAAGACTTCAAGAAACTCATGGGGAAAAAAATGAAACTAAAGTACAAGTTTATTTTGGTGCAAAAGATTTTTGAAATCAATGTTCAGTTTTTTCATAATATGCATTTTTCATGAACTTTTTAAAAACTCCTAGAAATTCACCTTATAATTATTTAATTCCTCACTTGCTATTTGAGAATATGTGTTCTTTCATTGCAGTATATAACTTATTTTTGAAATGTCTTTTAGACTGTTGCCAGACTTCATCCAAATGAATGGTAATTTTTCAAATATAAGTTACCATTTCCCTTCTTTCAACATAGCTTTCTCTTGACAAGACTTCATACAGATTTTAATGAATTGTTAAAAAAAAAAAAGAATGTATGGGGACCACGTAGCCTACTGCAGTTAGACTCCCAGACAGGGCAGCTTGAACTCATGCACTGCACGTGTGCATGCATGCCCAAAATCCCAAGAGGAGAATGGATTGTAGCATGGTCATCCTCCTTAGGGGGTGATTTCTCGCTCTCTCTCTCTCTCTCTCTGTCTAGCCCTATAGCAAAATCCTTTTTTAAAAAATGTATGTAATATGGCATAACTAAAACATGCTTTTGGATAATATTTTACATGTCACTCTAGAAACAAAAGTCTTTCTAAAAGTGGACAAATCTCTTGCACTTAGTTGGAGAAGTAGCATGATATAGTGGAGAAAGTATGGACTTTGGAGTCAGATGAAACTGAGTTAAATATATGTATTTAAATATATAGTTAAATATATTATATATGAATATATGTGTGTATATACATATATAAATAATTTATACTACAAGTCTACTACTTACTTAATTTGTTCCCGTGAGAAATTGCATGATCTTTCTCATTTATAACTTATCTGAAAAAACAGGGCTTGATACTATATGGCAAGGGTATTAGAAGGGATGAGAGGACATAGACCACATATAAAGTATGTATTCAATAGTTTAGTAATCCTCTTGACTTCTCTAGTGACAGAATTCCAATCTTAAATGTGAAATTCTAAATATTTTACATTTTTCTCTAGGAATACAGGGTGCTTTGCATACAGGAATACAGAAAAAACAGCAAAGTGGAGTCAAGTACACATAACAGCTTCATGGGCTTGAAGGATCACCCGGGGCATGACCTCGGCCACCTTTACGTGGAGAGCACTGACCCACAGTTAAGTGTAGCCGTACCTTGGTCAACAGGAGAAAAACCAACAATGGATACAGTTAATGCCAGGAGGGAAGAAAAAGAGGTGTCTGAAGAGAATGGGAGCTCTGGTGACTCTGAAGAAAGCACAAATTCTGATCATGAGTCAGAACAACTGAGTAGCATTTCAGTAGAGCCATGTATATTAACCAAGACTCATAGACAACTATGCCGGTCTCCCTGTTTAGAGCCTCACATACTCAAACGCAATGAAATCTTGCAAGACTTTAAACCCGAAGAGTCTCAGACTACTTCCAAGGAAGTGAAGAAACCCCCTGACGTGGTGCGAGAATACCAAACAAAACTGGAGTTTGCACTTAAGTTAGGTTATTCTGAAGAACAGGTTCAGCTTGTGCTAAACAAACTTGGTACTGATGCTTTAATCAATGATATCTTGGGCGAACTTGTCAAACTTGGAAACAAAAGTGAGGCTGATCAAACAGTTGGTACAATTAACAATGTAATTCGGGAAACATCCTCCTTGGAATCTCAGAGGTCTGAATCTCCAATGCAAGAGATTGTAGCAGATGATGGTGAAAATCTGAGACCAATAGTTATCGATGGCAGCAATGTGGCAATGAGGTAAGTGTAAGAATCTTTATGGAAAGTATTACCAAACAACCTTTAACACTTGTTTCTAATTTTGTAGCTAATTTTCTTTTAGTCATTAAAGTCAACATTCATTATATTCATTCCAACATTGGCTTTAAAAAACATTAGTTATCTAGCTCTGTTTTTCAGGGTTGTCAGCTACTCTCACCTCTTTGTGTCTGAAAAGAGGCCCCCCCTCCACCAACTTTTTTTAGAAAAGTCTTCTTTTTACTCATCTGCTAAGTTACTATGGTATAAAAACTAGTGCATGTTTCAGGCTTAGTGCTAATCACTGGTTAAATTTTAAATGAAGAATTTGAGTATAATAATATTCCAGATATTCTAGTCAAATAACCTATTTGCACATGAAGTTAAAAAGCCACAAGGAGGGACCAGCAGTTAGTGTAATGGCTATGTCGCTGGACTCCCATGTAGTTGACCGCGGTTCAAGTCCCGGACCCGGTGGTTTAAGACTCCTGCCGGGCGCGTGTGCATGCATGCCCAAGATCCCAAGAGGAGAATGGAGGAGAAGGGATTGCGGTGTGGCCATCCCCCCAGGGGGTGATTTCTCGCTTTCTGTCTCTCTGTCTGGCGAGCACACACGCCCTATGGTATAAAACCTCTCCCAAAAAATTTAAAAAAACACCACAAGGATGTAGCCAGCAGGTGGCTGGTGGTGCTGGACTCCCACATGGCTGACCACGGTTCAAGTCCTGGACCTATCAGCTTGCTTTCTTACTTTCTCTCTCTTTCTCTCATTCTGTCCCTCTCTGGTCAAATTAAAATAAATAAATAAAGTTGAATAAAAATAACTCTTTAAAAAAATAACCACAAGGAAAACCAATTCTTCTAGAAATTATTTATTTTATTGATTTGGCAATAAATCAAAGCTGTAGTTTCAAGTATTTGTTCCACTTAAGAAATGCAATTCAAAACTACTCCATTTTTTATCATTGTTTTTTTAATTTTATCAGAGAGAGCTGGAGAGAGAGAGAGAGGGAAAGCGAGAAAGCAAGCTGCCAGTTCTGGGACTCAAACCATGGTTGTCCATGTGAGAGTCCAGCACCTTTAACCAGCACACTACCTGCCAGCCCCTCAAAAATAATTTTTGGAAACTGGGGAAGAGGAGGAGAAAAGTAAAAATTTTGAAGAATTTTTTATTTTAGTACTACTACTTTTATTTTGACCAAAGAGAGACAGAAAAATGGGAAATGAGAAAACCAGCCAACAGGTCCATGACTTGAGCCACAGTTGGCTATGTGGGAGTCCAGCATCTTAACCACTATACCATCTGCCAGCCCTGAAAAAGTAAAACTTCTAATGAAATTCTTTTGATAAATTTTGATGGTTCAGAATTTAAAGCGTACCTAAATTCGTTCAGCAAATTAACTGCCCACAATGATCAGAGCGCTGTGAGGATAAAAAGATAGAATAAAACCATCAATTCTTCTCAAGAATTTAAAGTTCCACATATTGTTTCTCAAACAGTGGTCTGAGGATTCCTACCATAGACTCCTCTGGGACCTTATGAAAAATGCAGGACCAGACTGTGGTTTCAGTCCTGGACCAGCAGCTTGAAAATCACATGGGGTGCATGTCTGTGCATGCCCAGAATTCCAAGAAAAGAATGGAGGAGAAGGGATTGCGGTGTGGCCTTCCTCCCTAGGGGCCGGGGGTGATTTCTTATTTTTCCCCTCACTGTCTCTCGGTGGCAAACACATGTGCCCTAAGGGCCAGCTCTGTAACACGGTGGGTAGAGTCAGATCTCATGTGGCTGACTGTGGTTTGAATCCCTGCTCCAGCAGCTTGAAAAACATGCTGGGCAAATATGTGTACAGCTCAAGATCTTAATGGAAATGAAGGAAAAAGGATTGTGGTGTGACCAGGTCCCACTGGAGAGCACTTTCTCTGTCTCTGGTGTGCATGTACATCCTTTGGCAAAAAAAAAAAAGTAAGTTCCAAAAAGTTAAAAAACGAAAAACAAAAGGCACTGCAAACCATGTCGTTTAAAATTTTCTAGTACCTACATTAACAAGTAAAAAGAAACAGGTAAAATTAATGTTTTATTTAGGCTAATATACTCAAAATATTATTTTAACAAAAGGTTATTGAGATATTTTTGTATTATGTCTTTGAAATCTGGGGTGTACTTACACTGACAGCGCATTTCAATTCCGAATAGCCATATTTCAGGTGCCTGGCAGCCAGGTGTGGCTACTGACTACCATACTGGACAGAATAGTTCCAGAGACCTACCAAGTCAAGTTCAAGGAGTAGCCCAGCTGTGCTCTTATAAGAAGTATTCCTTCTAGTCATGATATGTGCTGAAATGTAAGAACTACTTTTCAGTAGATGATCATAAATTCTTCCACATAGATTTGAGGAAGATCAATATGTCGTCCTCTAAATAGTCTTTTCAGGTGAAGGCTTATGAATCTTTTATTAATAAGAGACTGACAGAATTTAAATGATTTCCTAAGACAAAACGTAATTCAAACCCACATATGTGAGACATCAAAGTCTACACACCTCATCCTGTAATAAAAGAGAAACGCTAAGTTAAAAGGATGCAGGCCACATCTTATAAGGCCTTAAAGACGCCTTATGATGATGAGCTAGAGAATTCAAACTTGACTCTATAACCAGAGGTAACTTAGGGATTTTGAGTAGGGACATGTCTAAGTAGACTTGTGCCCTATACTGACAATTTGGCAGTGATCTCTGTCTAATGGAGCGAATAGAACCTTAGAGGTATGAAGTGTGCATACCTTGAAAAGTCCTTCAGTAAGATAATCTTTCTGTTGTTTGACCTCTTTCAAACTTGGCCATAGAATGACTTTTCTCCTTGTAATGTGGTGATATGCAAGGCCAAAAGCTACGAAATTGCTGAAGGAAAGAGTAGTGAGGGAAGGTCATGGATCTTTGACAGCCATGGCTATATACCAGAATTACCAGAGGAGTTCTTTAAAAATACATCTTCCAGCATTATGTTCTTGAAGAATCTAATTCAGTGAAGCTATCGTAGAGCCCAAACTACTGTATTTATTTTTTTAAGTGCCAGAGTTATTTTCTTTTTTAAAGAATTATTTATTTAATTTTATTTATTCATTCATTTATTTCAACTTGACCAGAGAGAGACAGAGAGAAGGAAAGTGAGAAAGCAAGCCACCAGGTCCGGGACTCGAACCATGTGGGAGTGTCCAGCACCTTAAAAACTACACCACCTGCTGGTCCTCCAAGCCAGTTATTTCTGATGTATAGCCAGTGTTGAGAACCATTTAACACTAAAAGTATTAATATCTACATATCCGGAGGTAGAAGAAAGTGATGATCCAGTGGAACAGGAGTTTGAAAAACACCAGTATTAGAAGAAATAGTGCTAGAAAAAAAAAAAAAAAGGTTTTAGCATACTGAAAGAAGAGGAAGGCTTTAAGGAGAGAAGATCCTGTGAGTCTGAAAAGAGATCAGATGATAGGACAGCCAGGAAGTGACAGTCTTCAAGAATGCCATATGCTATTAGAGATAGATGCCTGATTGCAGGATGTTAAGGAATGAAGAACTAGGTCTGGACTGTTATTCTAGAAAGCTGACAGAGGAAGGAAAGGACAGGAGGAAGAAAGGTTGGGACAGGATTTTGTTTTGTTTTTAAAAAATGAAACTATGTAAGCTGAGGGAAAGGAAAATCTTCACAGGAGACTAAGGCAACAGTACTATGAGAGGAGTTTTTTAAGCAGAATGCAGGAGACAAGAAAGAGACGAATCCAGAATTTGGCATCTGAGGGAAATGTACTGTGAACAGGCAGAAACAGACTTTTTAAAAAATGCGTGCGTATGTGTGTGTGTGTGTGTGTGTGTGTGTGTATAATTTTATTTATTTAATTTGATGGGGGAGCCCCACTTCCTTAACCGCCACACTACCCACCAGCCCCAGAAACAGACCTTTTGCGGGGGAAACAGTATGAAACTTCCAAAACTTAGAGGATGTAGAAATGAATTTTTAAGATGGGTATCATTTAGATAAATGATGTCATAGTTGGGTCAGTCTCATAACAACTTATATGACTGAAACCTAGTTCCCAATGGAAATACTGGGTAACTAAGACCTTGCTTAAGCTAAACTTTATCCACCATGGTGAAAATTATCCACAGTAAAACTTTATAAAAATCGATGGCAGGGCTGGCAGGTGGGGTGCTGGCTAAAAGCATTGGACTCCCACAAGGCCGACCTCAGCTCGAGTCCTAGACCTGGTGGCTTGCTTTCTCACTTTCCCTCTCTCTCTGTCTCTGTCTCTCCCTAGTGAAAACTGGAAAATAATAATAATAATAAAGTTAAATAATTTTTAAAAGATGGCATAATTAAAGCATTTCAAACAATGCACTCAATACAGCTACGAAAACAAACTTCAACCACATTATTTTGACAGTATCTTCCTTATCAGACCAGGCAGATTTATTTCTTATCTCCATCATATATTTTAATCTGACAGTTAAACTGAAGTGCTTTAGACATTTCAGGAGAGAACACCTTGACAGAAAATTTTTATCACAGCAGCATTAAACTGTCAGTCACAATAAAGTGTTGTGCCATATCCATAATCTTGAAAGTATCTGAATTCATTAAAATTTATAGTAAACTTTTACATTCTGCCATTTATAAGGTCTACAAAAAGTAGCAAAATCATTTAAAAATACTTAGCTACTTCAGGTCCAAAATCTTTTTTTTTTTTTTGGAGAGGTTTTTGCTATAGGGCGCGTGCGCTCGCCAGACAGAGAGACAGAAAGCGAGAAATCACCCCCCAGAGGGGATGGTCACGCCGCAATCCCTTCTCCTCCATTCTCCTCTCGGGATCTTGGGCACGCACGCACACGCGCCTGGTGTGAGTTTTAAGCCACCGGGTCCGGGATGCGTACCACGGTTGACTACGTGGGAGTCCAGTGACATAGCCATTACGCTAACTGCTGGTTCCCGAGGTCCAAAATCTTAATGTAAC